AGTAACAGTTCTGTGTCTGTGCGAAGTAACAATTCTGTGTCTGTGCGAGTAACAATTCTGTGGCCCTAAGTAACAGTTCTGTGGCCCTCAGTAACAGTTCTGTGGCCCTGAGTAACAATTCTGTGTCTGTGCGAGTAACAATTCTGTGGCCCTAAGTAACAGTTCTGTGGCCCTCAGTAACAATTCTGTGTCTGTGCGAGTAACAATTCTGTGTCTGTGCGAGTAAAAAATTCTGTGGCCCTAAGTAACAGTTCTGTGGCCCTCAGTAACAATTCTGTGTCTGTGCGAGTAACAATTCTGTGTCTGTGCGAGTAACAATTCTGTGGCCCTAACTAAAGTTTCTGTGGCCCTAAGTAACAATTCTCTGGCACTCAGTAACAATTCTGTCTGTCCCTGAGTAACAATTCTGTGGCCCTAATAACGTTTCTGTGGCCCTAAGTAACAATTCTCTGGCACTCAGTAACAATTCTGTCTGTCCCTGAGTATGAATTCTGTGGCCCTAACTAGCGTTTCTTTGTCCCTAAGTAACGATTCTGTGGCCCTCATTAACAATTCTGTGTCCCCTGAGTAATGGTTCTCTGTCCCTAAGTAACTTTTCTCTGTCCCCAAGTATCGTTTCGTTTCTGTGGCCCTAACTCTTTCCCTGTCCCTAATACAGAGCGGTCTGCCTCTGTTCAATGACTGCAGGCAAATGAAGAATTCCAAAATGGCCGCTATTTATAGCTCGACCATTACACAGTGCTGGCTGGCTGCTGATTGGCTGATGCGATCACATGTCGTTGAGGAATGCATTATGGGTCAGCGCGCCTTGTCTGCGCGCCTTCCCAGACATCCCCGCTCCGTCGCCGCACATGTCAGCCGCCATTTTCGGAAAAATTTCGATTCGCGCGTCCGAATTAGGCTATTTTTCGGATTCGGCGCGAATCGAAATTTTTCCGATATTCGACTCGAATTCCACTTCGGCTACTTCGATTCGCTCATCTCTAGTTGCAGCAGTGCATGCATATCTACCCACAGGCTGGGAAAAACGCTTTTTTATGGAGAGGAGCATGTGAGTGGAAAACTTTGTAATTTTAAACTTTGCCTATTAAATTTACTACACTATGGAAGGCTTTCGTGTCTTTTTATGAGTTGCACAAGGGAGGAGGAGGAGTCTGCCAGAGGAATACACCACTGAGGTGGTAACTGCTTTGGGGCCCTGTGTGGGTCGAGGAAGGGAGGTGAGCAGGCATTGCTGCCATTTGAAGGAGAGTACTTGCACTTAGAAGTGGAGATCACCTGTGTGTTCCAGCCAAAGCACAGTCACATGCATGGATATTTTTTCACTTTTGATATTGTCTTTTTCACTTATGGCATATATTTATTTATATATGATTTAGACACTATTGTATGTGGCCAATTATTCTGTTTTTCACGTATATATATTTTATCTGTATATTTGATATATGCACTATATTTTAAGTTTCATAATGTGTGTTATTTAGTTTTTTTGGTTGACACTAATTTTTTTCTTTCCACTAGAGGGAGTCAACACACATTTTATATATAGTGGTCACTTTGATTTAAAATTACACTATATGGAGATACATGATTGTATTCATGTGATACAAGCGCTTCACTAATTTTTATTTTTATGTTTGCACTTATTGGTATCAGTCAAGTGACAGCAGCTGTATTTTGTTAATTATTCCCATGAGCGCAGGAGGATCCCTTACTATTTAACTATGTGTAAGATGGCATCAGTAGGTGGTGTCAGTAGTTTCTTCATTTTTATTAGTATTATTTTAAATTTTTGCAATTTTTTTGATTTTATTTACAAATTAATGTTTTATTATTTTTATTATTTGTATCATTTTTTTTTTTTTCAAAATGCTTTTGGGTGGCCAGTGGATGGTGTCAGTAGAGCAATGGTGAGGATGTCAGAATTTTTTAATTTGTATTATCTAATTTCTAAATTATTTTTTACAATGTATGTATTATTTTTTTCACAATGCTTTTGTGGGGGCAGTGGACAGTGTCAGTAGGTAGTGAACAGGGAGCATTAGTATATGTTGGGCTGTCATTATAAATGAAGGGAGGGGATGGAGGAAGGAAGGGACGGAAGAAAAGGGAGGGAGGGAGGGAATGGATGGAGTAAGGAAGGAATGACGGAAAGAAAGAAAATGGATGGAGGAAGGAATGAAGGAAAAGGAAGGAAGGAAAGGGAGGGAGGGAGGAAGGAAGGAATAAAAAGGGAGAGAGGGAATGGATGAAGAAATAGGAGGGAAGGAAAGAGGGGTGGGAGGAAAAGAATGAAGGGAGGGGATGGAGGAAGGAAAGAAAGAAAGAAGAATGGGATGGGAGGTAGGGGAGGGAGGGAGGGAAGGAAGGGGAGGGAGGGAAGGAAAGGGAGGAAGGAAGAAAGGGGAGGGAAGGAAGGGGAGGAAGGAAGGGAAGGAAGGGGGGAAGGAAGGAAGGGGAGGAAGGAAGGGGAGGAAGGAAGGAAGGAAGGAAGGAAGGG